TACGGGCGTGTGTATACATATGTTACAGGTTTACATGTAATTAAAAACTATCACTAATAAAAATACATCTTAGGAATTACGAATAATATTTTAATTTGTTTGAAAAAGCACCCGGCGATCGTATACTTAGTGTTGCAATTCTTTCATTGTGCTAAGAAACCCAAAAGTTTCGCTTACCTCGACTGTCGGGTGGTATCTAGCGTCACCTCAGCCTGCTGCGATTCGGTGTTGGTAAATAAGTGGCCGCACAGCCGGCGCTGTTTATTAACGTAGTTAGTTTATCGCAGTAGTTTATCAGAACGCGGCTATATCCGCTTGCACATCCGCTTGCCTTGGAAATCCCGCAGCTGACTGCGACGCTGCATGGGTAACACGGAACTCTCCAGGCGGACCTGACCTTTATAAAACATCGCCAATCTCACGCCCGGACCGGACCTACATAGCGATATGCGATCCTCCTCTAACCCCATCCCTTACCGCCTGTAAGAGGTTTTCTCGCATCTTCGCGTCCATTGGTTGCTATATAGCTCGGTGTCCCTAGGGATTTCCATCTTGCGCTAGATATGGGCTGACGGATGAAATTAGATGCTTCGTGGACATGGTTTTATTTGCGTAGACGCAGCGACAAGATCTTGATAGCGCCATTTCTTGATAGCGCCAAGAGTCTATACGTGGTGCGCTCGAACCTGAACAGACAGACGGAAGGACAGTCAACCACCCAGGCACACAAACATACATGCAGACACCGACACAAAGAAACCGACGGACGGACGGACAGGCAAACAGACGGAAAAGGAGAGAGATAAAGCGATAGAAAGCAAGAGAGCGAGATAAACCACACGAAAAAAAGAAGGAGAGAAAAGAGATAGATAGAGGCGGCGACAGATATGTTCTAGACAGTCTGCGTACTCTTGCGGTTAAAAAATCTATCATTCAAATAAACAGTATGTAAGTGCGGTCTTCATATTACCTTGTGGACAGAAGCGCTGAGCACCTATGCCCGTCTTTGGTGTCTGGGAACAGCGAAAGAGCGCCAGCACCACGGGATTATGCGAAATTCTACGTTAAGATTAAGACCCACATAGCCTACTGTTGCTGTACGAATGTGGTGTGAGGTGCCATTCCGAATTAAGAAAGATGAGCCTAAGATTGAGCAAAAATCCCGCGGCCGCGCGGAACTCCTAAGCATGTGCCCGCACACATACTTAATAAAAGTCATGTCTTTGACGACAAGCCTGAGCTTATCGCCGATTTGACGTACAGTCAGTTCGCAGGCCACATACTCTGCGTCCGTCAATGAACACGCAATCAACTAGCGGTCACTACCAGAGCAGTAGAATATGGTTGGTCTCCCATAATCTAACATAGAGAATTTACGTTAAATTATCGATCTATTGAATACTAATCCAGATAATGTAATATTAGCTAGATAATACTTGCTATGAGTCTGACGCCGAGTACTATCTAGATATACCACACGATATATCTTGAGAGTATCGAGAGTACTAAATCGCAATTCATAAAGCTGCTCAGTCTGAGAAGGCATCAATATCTGACGGACGCTGTAATTCCGTGTCGTATGTGGCCAGCATTTGACCACACGTGCGCCTCCAGCCTATCTTGCTCGCTTACGTCCTGTGCGTGTCAATTTCTAAATTGCTCTGCAACCGCAGTCCGTATAGACAGATGGTTAGGGGCAACGGTAACCTAAGGTCCTACGATACCACTATCTATCAAAGATACTACATGTACGTGACATACACATTTATCTGCTTCTCTGGGTAAAATGAAGCTTTCGATTCGTTCGCGCTGAATCGCAAACCCGATTTCGGGGAATATTTCATACGTAAAAACAATCCAATCAGCTTTTCTGGCTCCAGTGTAGTAGGAATATGTGTAAGTATATTTAAAACAGCTTAGGGTGCGGAAAATTAAGTCTTAAAAACAGAACCCGCCCATATATACGAAAGAATAAAAATTCAAGTCGATCGTTTACCGCATAATATTTTTTAAATTTGTGATTTGTTAACCTAACGTTTGTGACTGAATATTTAACAGATATTTTTATCCAAAATGAATTCTAATAAGGCTGTAATGTTGAAGTGAGAGTTCATGTAGAAATGATGAAGTAGAAATCCAAACGTGTGTATTAAACTGAATAAACTTTAATAACTTGGCCAAAAACACAGTGAGTCACATCTGGCAAGAGAGACAAAGAGCGAGCGCGCGAGCGAGCGCGCCTAAGCAGCGTGTGGCTTACTCCCGCGACACAAACCAGCCACTCCCCGACTCCCTATCATCTCTGTCCTATATATTTCGGCTAGGGGCGTACTCAGTGACACCCCCAGAAACCCCAATTACTCGCCAGACCGCGTCCTGACGCTCCATTTCAACAATGACCCGCTAGAAACGCCCGAGCCTAAAACAGCATTTATCATTCTCCCTATAACATGCGAAATCTAGCCAGCAGCAAGATGAGCGACCGCTCTGGTCTGACATAGACTACGCACCAAAACAACCCTGAGTCTAGCCGCAATCGCGTCTCTACACTAATTTTAATGTAACATCTGTAAATCATACTGTTACATTATCTCCCCCTTCCCAGACGATGACTAAACCCCTGTCATCGATTCAGCGTCCCCGCTTGATCTACCAGCTTCCACCTAAAACTGAAACAATTTCCAAAATACATATGAAGCTATAAAGCCTTCTATAACAAAACAAGTAACGATAAAGTTCGATCACATACAAGTCAGAACATTCAACACATTTGCGCAGTGAACATTTTTGATATCGCTGGCAATTACTCTCACTCTTGCGTCTTTTTATGCGGTAACGTACGTGGCGTATGCGTATACCAACACGCATTACCGAAACGACGTTTAACCATGTGCTCCATTTCACAATGACTCTAGAAACACCGAATAAAATAGACCTAAAACACGTTTACAATTCTCCCTATAACATCAATCTAGCCGCACAAGATGCCGGCGACTCCCTCTGTCTACATAAGACTACCACTAAAACAACCCCTAGTCTAGCTCCGCTGACTAATTCATGCAACATTTGTAAAACATAATTATGTTACAAGGCTATCATTTATAGAAATTAATGAATTTAATTCGAATAAATTCTGCTACGGAAAATTATGTCCCCCCGCTATGCAATATCTATTTCCGATGAAAATCGCCGAGCAAGTCATTTTTGTGGGTTATTACGAATAGTAACACCATCTAATATAAGCCGCGTTCACACGGTCATAGTTTGGCTCGAGCCAAATGGGCCTAAATTTGGCTCGGCCAAATTTGGCTTGGCCGTTGAGTCGGAAAAGGTTCACACGTACGCGAAGTGACAATACCTGTCCTGTCAATCAAATTCAAAATTAAATAATTTTATTGCACAATCTATCTCACAGCATCATGTATATATGATCAAAGCTTTTGGCAGTATGTCGCCGAGATGGCACGTTGTGTACGATTCAGAGTGTTTACTTTGCGTTCCACAGTTCATTATCATCTTGAAACGTGCATCCTGATCAAATTTTTGAATTTTCTATACTGTTTTGGATTCTTATTTCGTCGAAGTACACGTTCGACACTATAGTAGCGGCATCTACGCTCAACGATTCTACCGCTCTACCGCCGCCGAAAGCTGGTGCTAAAATTTGGCTCGAACCTGTCGACGTGTTTCGATGGACCAAATTGGCTCGTGCCAAATTGGCCGGCCCGAAAAAACCGTCGTGGGAACCTCGGCTCGAGCCAAATCTGGCGCGGGCCTATAATTAGGCTCGGGCCAAAAACGTCCGTGTGAACGCGCCTATAAATGCTCGCCAGTATAAGCCGATCTACACAAAATGAGAAAAATGGCCACAGGTGGCGTTACCAGTTTGTATTAGTGAAGGAATTACCGAGGATTAAATGGCGACTGGCCTTACAACATTGGGTCGCTCGTTTGCCTGAGCTTTCCACCGCCTGCCGCGCGCTCACCTGAAAATCACCATTTCGCTTCAAATCATGCTAACAGATTTGCTTTTCTAATAGGTTTTAGTTCACGTTTGTACGTAAGACTGCTTACCAGTGGATGGATTTTCTGAGACGCTATACACTAAGGAACTGTGGAGTTCTGGTTACTCTCGATACTGTAGCAAATCGCAGGCGAGTCTAATGCTGAGTCAAATTTTGAAGCAAATACAGAATCGCACGCATAACGCACAACGTTTAATTCGATAAATTTCTATGTGTTAAAAAAACATGATAACTACAGATGATCATCAACTATTCGTTGTTTCTCTGGTCATCGGGGAATTCCACCGTACGTTCATAATGCGATACTATGGTTGACGCATGTAAACCATTAGCGATGCCCACGGGCACTTGGCACGTGTATAACAGTGGCCAATTGCCACTACCGGCAGCTGATGCGGATGTGCT